TTCAGCTTTTATTAGTTACACTATGTGAGGAATAAACACACCTTTGCCATTGGATGGAGGGATAATGTAACAAATATTTAACATTTTTCATCAAGCTGTTGGGAGTTTTTTTTATTAAAGTATACAAATATTTACCATTGCCCTCGAATGATGTGTGCTTGTGTGTGTATATTTAAATGTCAATATGGTGGGTATCACACAGTATTATTGTCATACCAATAATGACAGAAGGCTTTGACAGCAGATGTCAAAGATCTCATAAATTCCATATATTTATAAAGAAAAATGGAATTTTCTTTGTAACGCAGCATTTAATGCAAAATTATGTTAATCAGTTTATAAAAACAAAATTCTGCCAAGATTTCTAAGAATTTTTCGGAACACCTTGTCTTCTCGGTGTTGTGCTGTCAAATCCAAAATGTACAATGTTTGAGGTGCTAAAACAATAACAACACCACACCGCCTCTCTAATTAAAAATTCTTCAAGTCACCTCATTGTTAATCGTCATCAGTGAAAAAAAAAACAAAAAATCACAACAACAACAATACATATTGTTGTATAATTGAAGAAGAAGAAAAAAAAAAGAACAGAAAACAAAAGAAGTCACGTCACGTGTTATATGTTGTTGCAGGTAATTAGTTAATTAAAAAATCTTTTTTAATAGAATAATCAAAGAGCGAACGTCGACTGAGCCACAGGGAGTGTAGCAATAAGACAGAAACCTACAAAAATTAATTGAAATTTCATGCTTTGCATACCAAACCTGGTTACTATTGTCTCTATTCTAATTGAAATTATTGTTTTGGAATGTCCTATCGGCAGAAATTGTGTTTAACATTTATTATTTTATTTGATTGGAAATTGAGGAAAAGGGTTTGGAGGGAAATATTATTAAAAAATTAAAACAATCAAGTATAGGAGCAGCTAATTAATACCCTCCACAATTAGGATATTAAAAAAAAATACAGAAACCTTTATGAAAACCTTTATATATACGAAGACGAAGTGCTGGATAAGCGTTTTTGTGATATGATGTAGCAACGATTCCGAACTTCAAATACGAAATTAGACGCAATTCCGATGAATAATGTCGCTAATATCATAAAAATACCGAATAAAGGGAGGACCGTTGTATGGGGCTATACTAAGACGTAGACCTGCATAGATAATTTTCAGTCATAGGTTGTACCACCCATTACGAACTTCAAACACGAAATTTTACGGAGTTCCTGTCGATTTTCAGACCATAGACAATTCTTTTCCATGGGGTTAGGTACTCAGAAAGAACTTATTGTGTGTATTTTAGGCCAATTCATTGATAAATGTGGCTTAATTCATCAAAATACCCAATATCGCGGAGCGCTATTGTTTGGGGCCTGTACGATATCGTGGACCTATATAGACAATTCTTTTTCAGGGGGTAAAGTACTCACAGAGAACTCCTTGTGTAGAATCAAAAAATACCGAATATCGGGAGATTCAGTTATATGGGGGATATATGATATCGCGGACCTATACAGACAATTCCCTTCAAGGGGGTAAAGTACTCAAAAAGAACTCCTTTTGTGGATTTATATGGGCGCTGTACGATATCGAGGACCGATATAGCACATCTTCGAATTTGACCTGCCTGCAGACTAAATACAGATCGGTGCAAAATTTTAGCTTCATATCTTTATTTGTTTTGACTGTAGCTCGATTTCACCCTTTGGTATGTCCTTCACCGACGAAGTAAGCACAGTTTTTCTAAATTTCATACTTCTTTTAATTGGCCCGACTTCTAGAAATGTTCAATGCCGGCTACGCAAAGAAAAATGTTGTTTATACTGAAAACATTATTTCAAAAGTGCATATCGCAGGATCCAATAACATATATTAAGGAATTTTGGAAAGGTTGTATTTGGTATATATACTTTGGGGGTCCGGAACCCCAAAAAAGCCCGGGTTCAGAAAATCTGTAGTTTCGTATCCAAAAAAAGCTATAATCTATCTATTTGAGGAAACCTATATTATATATATATTGTCAATATATCAGTTTAGTAGATTCGGATATAACCCGGGTCACAGAACCGGATTTTGGGTCACATATCGGAAAAACTGGGTCCGTCTCTTAAAAAATGGGTACAAATACCTACCTCTAGAAAACTGAACTGGAAAACGATGCTGGAGTTAAGCCAAAAGTATTTAACTTACCGTAAAGCCGATGGTTCAGGTCTTTTGCTACAGTTGTTATCTATTATAAGTTTTAAATACCAATTTTGAAAAAATCTCTTATTACCGAATTTTATTCAATTGCTTGAAATTAATTGACATGTGGCTAAGATAATGACAATACCAAAAATTGTGAGATACCATTATATGAGGGCTTAATGTTGGAACGTGGACTTATATATACAATGATCTGCCTATTAAAAACAATTCCGTTCGAAAATTTGACTTGAATGTCAAAATTTCGAATATTAGGAGGTAGGAAACCATAGATATATAATCTGCCACAAGATTAAGAACCTATTACATACTCTAAATGTCGAATTGTAAACAATTAGAGAATGTCGATAAAATCATCAGAAATCCGAATATTGGGAGGTACAGTTAAATGGAGGCTATATGAAAAAGAGAACCGACATGGTCTATTTACGAACTTAATCGGCCTACTGGCAGAAGTTAGCGTGATTACAACAGGCAGATGGGCAGAGAGACGGGCATCGCTAAATCGACTTAGAAGTTTCGTAGGATCTAACATAAGTATTTCGAAGAGTTACAAATAGAATGACAAAGTTAATTATATATGGTGGATGGTTTAAAAATAACCACTAACGAAAGTTTAAATAACGGGCGGGTCGACTATATGATACCCTACACTTCTATGTATATTTAGAAGAGCTGCCCGTAACGAATAAATGTTTATATTCTGAATTTGTGCGTATTTTGGTTTTAGAATAGTTATAATTGGAATCCAAGGGAATTAATACATGAAGGTATATTCGATTCTTTAATCGATTTCCACTAAATGTGACGGATGCATTTGTACCTTTCGTACTAAATAACATTGCTATAGAGTGCATGACATGACTTCGAGAAGGATTATATTGAGAAATGTATATCGTAGCAACGGTTATATAGGAACCGAGTTTCGGCAAATGGGAGAATTCGGTTGAATGTGAAAAATGCTATCTTATTTGGGCAGCAGTCACATATTTGGTGCACAAAATCCCGAAAGATTGGACGAAGATATATTGAAGCTATATTCAAATCTGCACCGATCTCCACAAAATTCGGCAGTTGTATTTTCGAGTTGTACTTAAACAAATCCGCATATGATGTGACTTGCATTTTGTTCACAAAAAATCATGGACAGAAAGATGTATACGACGGACGGACATTCATAAATCGACTTAGAAAGTGATTCTATGCGAATCCTCAAAAGTAACTATGGGTCTTTCTAGTCTCCTTCGTCATGTTACAAACAAGTGTACAAACACATAACACCCTGTACCACAGTGTGGTGTAGGGTAAAAAATTACCTGTTATAATTTCTTGTCAACTTTGAAAACATTTTCAAAATTCTCCATTTCCACATTCAAAATCAAATCAAAATGATGGCCCGCGAAACCACCCACCTTAACATTTCATACCCTCCACTACGCCAACCATTTACAACTTTCAAAGAAACCATTAAAACAAAGTAATTTTCAAGCAAACACCACTTCGTTCGACAGAATTTTCAACAAACTTACAACAAACTGCAACACATTCACACTTCTAATTGAACATTAGAGGGCCTCTCTTGGTATAATTTCAATTTATTTTTAACGATTCGTTTTTTTTCTTTCTTTCTTTTCGTTTTTCAATTCCATTTAAGTCATAAAAATGATTTAGTTGCATTTACGCGAGAATGAGAAGATTTTTTTTTGTTTTCCAAATGTGAAATTATTCCCCAAGCCAACATAAGTGTAAATATTTTTATGTACCAAAAAAAAATTATTCAACACATGTAGTACTCAATTTTCACCATACAACACCACACCACATATCGAGAGCCACAAATGGCTCGTTGAAACAACAAATTATTGTCACATTTAAATTTCCTACAATTTTGGTGGGAAAAAAAAAACAAAATTTGGCGGTGTTTTGTTGTTTTGAATTACATTCATATCTCTCCCTACTGCCCTTTTGACAGAGAGTTGAAATAATAAATATTCTAAAGCGAAACATAACCATTAGGTTCTGCCTTCATACGATTGCGAATGGCAGCAGCAACACCAGCACTTCATCATTTGAAATTCCCTCTGAAAACGGGAGTGTGAATTGGAGTATGAATGGCATGGTTCCCTAACCCAACCATTCTCTATTTGTTGTTGTCGTTGTTGTTGCATGGGGAAATCAACGATACAATTGATGTTTTGCTTAACAACCGCCACAATGATAGATTTATGAGCACCGCTGCCATGGCTGCCGTGGCTCGTTTGCTGGCCAAAATGTTATAAATGTGTGAAAAGTGGTGATGTGGAAAAGTCAACATGTTCTGCTGCTTGTTTCGCTTTGGACTAGCCCTGCGGAGCCAAAATACGTAGGGGTTCTATATTTTTACAGCATTTGAAGATAACATCAAGGCGTCATCAACACCTACCACCACCCGAGAGAGTAAAATGACGACACCAACAAAAAACACTTGTCCACAATATTTTCCGCAAATGTTGTGGTACATAAAAAAACTGTTAATGTTTCTCTAAATGTCTTCCTGCATTTTCACAGACACACACACACGATCTCTCCCTTTTTCTACTTTTGCCATTCAGTAGAAGGAGACGATATTTTTTTCTTCTTCGTTTCACATCAAAGTGTTAATTTGCTTATTTGCCACTTGTTTGGTCGGAGAGGTGGCAAAAACCCGACCAACATTCTTGGTGTCATTAGTGGCTGTTTAAGACATGTTTGCATTCATTTTCATTTGAGATTCTTCATCATTTTAATTTCTTTGGCATTTTTCAACACTTACCCGCTATTTGTAAAGTGGCATGACGGCTGACTGCTTTGCCAACATGATTTTTGGCCACACACCAATAGACACCACTGTCCTGTTCCTTTTTACCCTGCACCGTGCGATAGAAGAAGAGGGCACCATCTTTGAAAAGAACACGATGGGATTTCTTGTCGTTTGTGTTGACGGGTTCACCATCCTGAAAAGAGGGGGGGGGGGGGGTGAAAGAGATAGGAAAATTGGAATCATTTAAAATTGTTTATTTATAAAATTAAAAAAACATAATGGGGAATATTGATTGGGGATCATTATCCCTAATTGAAACTCTATCTATATCTTTGAGAGCCTTGGCCAAACAACCAATATATACATCAGTCTCTATAAATTTATCAATTACACTGAACGACAAAATTCAATTTTTTAATAATTTCAGCAAAACTTAAGTAGATTATAAATGTAGAGCTGGTTTAAATAGCTCACACACATTCCGTGTTTTGTTTAACTGTCAAACATCTTTAATTCAATTCTTGAAAATCATTCAATCATTCTGCCATGTTATGGTCAGATTAATCGACCACTAAAGGGGCTCTTCGGGTATTGTGACTAAATTTCGCATTTTTGGATATTCAACCAACAACTCGCCAACGTAAAATACAGCTGTATAGGACAGGGATAATGCTGACCATCACTTATCGATTCGCTGCCAATTCGCGAAGCAATTGGGACTCTGTTAATCAAAAAAGGTTGCAAATTTGCGGGCCAACAATTGAAGCCGAACGACCTACCGCAACGCAGTATTTTTGGTGCATGGGCTATAGGACAGTTGGTCGAAGATCCATTTTTTATCTAAAATATTTATTTCGAAGTATGTCAAAATTGGACTAAGCGGATGGATCATTTGGGAGCAGTTGGGGTCAACAATTACATGAAATAATCTTCAATATTTAAATTATATGGACTCTACTGTTAATTCAAGTAAAGGTTTCCTATAGGGACCGCTCACTTTCCCTATGGGGACCGCTCATATGATTTAACGCATTTACAGTATTTTTTCAGTAGGGCTATGTTGAAGCCCAAATTTTGGTATTTTGATACTATACAGAGTGAGATGAAAAAACTGCAACCAACTTCAGACTGCTGTCATTTCTAAGCCACTCGTCCGACAGCTGTTAAAATTATTCCAGTGACAGCTCATTATATTGTTTCTAAGCGTACAAAAGCATTTTGGTGAGAATTGTAATGTCTTTCTATTTGGCTGGAAAACCAAAAATGGCTGTCGTTAGAGCACTCCAGCATTTAAATGTGTCTCGTACCATCGATCGTTACCGTGATACTGGTAGCGTAGCCCAACGTCAGGGAAGTGGACGGAAGAAAACAGCAACATCTGCAGAAAAATTAAAGAAGCGACTTGATCGAAAACCGCGTCGCAGTGGCCGAAAAATGGCTTGTGAGCTGAACATATCGCAATAATCGACCGTGGCATCAAAATAAATGCCGAATATTATCGCGAAAATATTCTGGAGGATTAATACACCCTTGTGCCTTGGGCATTTTGGCGCAGACCTTGGACATTCCAACAGGACTCGCACTCAGCACGCGCCACCCAAGAATGGTTACAAAATGAGGTTCCTCGCTTCATTTCCGGTGCACAATGGCCACTAACATCTCCGGATTACAATCCGTGGGACTATTGTGTCTGGAGTATTTTGGAAAGCAAGGTTGGCACTAAAAAATACCAAAGTGTCGATCACCTCCAGCAAGCGCTTCGCCGGGAATGGGCCAAAACACCGTAGAGCAACATTCGGGTAGCGTGTGACGGTTTCATTAGCCGTTAAAAGGCTATAATTCGTGCCAAAGATGACGAATTCGAACAAATCTAAAATTATTCTAAAATTTGATGCTATTTCCAACATTTTTAGCTTTCATTCAATAAAATTTAAAAAAAAATGTAAAAATTATAGCGTTTGACTTTGTTGCAGTTTTTTTTATCTCACCCATAGCGTTGCTCATATACAAAGTGGCCCAATATTATGCGATATATTTAGCAACGTTGAAAAGGTGCATTGAAAATGTATGAAGAGCTTGGTCTACTTCAAAAATCATTTATTCAACTAATGGGTCTAGTCGGTCTACCTTTTTGGTAATTGCTAATGTAACAGTAAGCCCGATTTCAAGAATTTTATATGTTTTAATTATATTTTTCATGAAATTTTGTAAATTTTTGGTATTTTGAGTTCGGCGATAATAATGCTTGACCTAGATAATTCTCGTATTGTCATCAGTAATATTGCCGAAAATACCTAATACCTAAAATCCAAATAGATTCGGTATGAAAACTTGAAAATTTGAGGAATATTAGGTTACTTAGCGATGTCGCATTTCAAAATACCGACACACGTTTCTTCTATTTTTACCCCTATTTTTATACTCTTCTGCATTTTCATTTTGTGTTAAAATTTACAGATCTGAGGGTATCTTCTATTAATGAGGGACAATGTTTTAAATCACTTACCTTAAACCATTCAATCGTGGGCTCGGGCTTGCCTTCAACTTTACAATTCAGTGTGGCTGGTTCATTCTTTTTCACCACCAAATCTGTGGGATGTTCAATAATACGGGGTGATTGATATTGAGCTATAACGATAAGAAAAAAAAAACAGAATAGAGAAATTGTTTAAAATATTTGTAGATAAAACAAGAGAAAAGTTAAAACAAACAACTGCGAGATGACAGGATGGATATGGTTCATGAAGTAGCTGGCTATTATCCAAATCTTTTATATAAATAAGGATTTTTATGAAATTGAAAATGAAATACTCTTAAAATCTTCATATTCTAACGAATGTATTATTAAAAAATTGGAATACTTTTTTTACTAAAAAAACGGCTAAAAATTTAAAATATTCAAAGATGTTAATCATAAATAAATTTGAAAAGAATTGGTCACATTAGAATTTATACGAATTTTTGTCTTCTTTAAAACATAGTGGCAATAATACTATTTTGTATCAATACTTAAAAAATATTCATATTCTTACGAATTTACGTTCTGAAACAGTAGAATTGAACTTATTTTCCAAATAGAGAACATATTTAAAATTTTGGAAGAAAAATTTAAATATTTTTTATTTATTTTATTTTATTTTATTTTATTACTATTATTTGTTTTTTTTTTTTTTTTTTTGGAAATTTAAATATTTTCTCTATCAATTTTGAAATTTTCACAACCCACACAGTATTATTTAATTACTCTAAAATATATACATTTTTCCAAATTAACACAATCTGCTATATAATTTGGTTTATGTTCAAATAGTCTAAATAATAATATGGAAATGTTTTAAGTGGGTGCCTTCTAAAAAAAAACAGAGTTCATTTAAAATGCATATCACGTTTTTCTTCATTTTGTTGGCCATTAAAACTATTAGCTAGACATAGCCTAAAGAGCATGCAATCATGTCGGCCAGACAGACAGACAGACAAACAGCCAGCCGCCCAACCGTCCAACCGGCCGGCCTGACACTTTTCAACATGGATACCCGACATGAAATAATAACAATTGATAATCATGTTAAGCAAATTATTAGAAACCATGGCAAATATTAACTGGTAATAATAACCAAGAGAATAGAACAATGGTAGGTAAAGAGAGTGGAGAGGGACAGTGGTTTTGAAAGGGTATTCATAGCTATAAATAGAAATGATAGATTTCCCCTTAATTCAAAGCAGCAAAGTTCGGCATTTTGAAGAAACTTGAAAAATGTCCAAAAATACTGCTAATAGGCTGAACTTGAAATACGAAATTTAAAGCAATTCCGGTAAAAATATCGGTAAATTCATCCAAACGATATCGTAGACTCATACAGGGTGAGAGGAAAAAACTGCAACCAACTTCAGACTGCTGTCATTTCTAAGCTACTCGTCCGTCAGCTGTTAAAATTATTCCACTGACAGCTCATTATATTGTTTTCAAGCGTACAAAAGCATTTTGGTGAGAATTTTCAGAAACAAATTATTCCTGATGGAATTCAAGCGTGTTAGTGTGATTTTTTTATATTTGGCTGGAAAACCACAAGTGACTATCGTTAGAGCACTCCAGCATTTAAATGTGAATAAATCTTTTGTGTCTCGTACCATCGCTCGTTACCGTGACACTGGAAGCGTAGCCCCCGTTAAGGAAGTGGACGGTCGAAAACAGCAACATCAGCACAAATGGTTCGAAAAGTAAAGAAGCGACTTGATCGAAACCCGCGTAGCAGTGCCGAAAAATGGCTCGTGAGCTGAACATATCGCAATATTCCAGTGGGCAAATATTGAAAAACGAGTTCGGGGTTAATCCAATGAAATTCCAAAAAGTGTAAGAACTTACATCGCAACAGGAAGAAAATAGACTCAAAAGAGCTAAGGAGTTGCTTTGCTTGGTCGAATGTGGTGAACTGCCGAATTTGGTTTTCTCTGATGAGAAAACATTCGTTGTCCAGCAGTTTCTAAACAAACAAAATGATCGTGTTTTCTTGCCAAAGAGGTCAGCTGAAAATGTGCACCTTCGGTTGGCCACCAGAACTGAAGCGGCGGCCATGGTGATGGTGTGGGCCTCCATAACAGCCGATGATCGCTCTTCCTTCGTAATAATCGATCGTGTCATCAGAATAAATGCCGAATATTATCGCGAAAAAATTCTGGAGGGTGTATTAAAGCCTTGGGCATGCAAACATTTTGGGCGCAGACTTTGGACATTACAACAGGACTCAGCACCAGCGCACTAAGCACGCGCCACCCAAAATCTCCGGATACAAATGCGATGGACTATTGTGTTTGGAGTATTTTGAAAAGCAAGGTTGGCACTAAAAAAATAGCAAAGTATCGATCACTTCAAGCAAGCGCTTCGCCGGGAATGCGTCGAAAATACCGCAGAGAAACATTCGGGCAGCGTGTGACGGTTTCATTGGCCGTTTGAAGGCCATAATTCGTGCCAAAGGTGACCAATTCAAACAAATCTAAACTTATTCTAAAATTTTGTGATTTTTCTAAAATTTTTTGCTTTCATTCAATAAAATTAAAAAAAGGTAAAAATTATGGCGTTTGACTTTGTTGCAGTTTTTTTTATCACACCCTGCATATATTTTTTGATGAGTTATGATGAACTTAATTTACCCTCCATACTATGTATGGTGTAGGGTGTAAAAAGAAAGTAGTTCTTGTACCCCCGATTTTAATCTTTAAACAATTCTTAGAAATCTCCAGTTTTTGTCCTTGAAATTAAAAAAAAATACTTCAAATCCAAAACATTTCTCTATAAAAATTCAAAAACTGTGCCAAAGAAATCGTTTCAACCCGTAGAATATGGTGAAAATATTTACTAACCTATAAAATCTACCTCGAAAATATGCTTCTGTTATTCCTCCAAAAATTCGTAATTTAAAAATATCGCTAGAGATAAAAAAGCTAATATTTGAACCCTCGATATTGATTTATTTTTAGTTAGCAATTTCCACTCGTGCCACACTGTCTCATCTCTATTAGCCGGTTGCCACCGACTAATGTCACCAATGTCATCATTAGCCAACATAACACATTTACCATAACGCCAGTAAAGCAACAACGGCAAGAGCAACAACAACAACAGAACCCCATCGAACCATAATCATTTCGAGATGGATGGTTGAATAGAAGTATGGACAAACGAACACATGCATGGTTGGATGAATGGAGAGTCAAACGAACGAACGAAAGAACGAACATGTATATCAAAAAGACAGCGAAGAAGAAGAACTAACCAGGTACTATTATTGCCAATACAACAATGTACAACACGTTCCTCAACATGATTTTTCAGCTATGATAATAGCTCAGAAATTCATGTAGACATACTCAAAGCCAGAGATCCCAAAAAAACTCGTACATATAGAATAGGCCATCACATGGCCATCAACAATAACAACAAAAACGTCATTATTATTGCCATCATTATCATTATTGAGGTGGTTGTGTGTTGTGCTACCTGAAACAACATCCAATCACCATTGGGTTCCTGCTGCATAACATTTTTATTCCCATTCATGCAACATTATGCATATTTTGCCACTGCTGTTGCTGCAGCATTTACCTGGCTGGTTTGTTGGTTGAATGACGGGATGCATGATGACTGGTTGGCTGCCTGGCTGGCTGACTGTTTGGCATGCATATATGGCTAAATAGAAATATCATACTCTACAAATTGATCATTAAAAACGTTAAAAGGATACCTTTTCTTTTATTTCAAACATTTTTGTTGTATATGTTCATGGTAATTTGAATTTAGATTCTGTCTGGTGTACACCGAGAAAAATTTTCATGCAAAAACACCCTTTTCAATACTTAAAAAGCCTTTCATTTTCCAACTAAAAATTTCTTCCTCTATTCACAAAATTCAGGACTCTGGACAGACATTCAATTGCACAGCGAGAAAGAGAGAGAATTATTTTTTCCAAGGAAACATGAGTTGAACACGGTTGCTGAAGATAATGTTGAAACCATACCGAAGATGATGTTGTCAATGGCTACGACGACGATGACGACAGCCAACGATGGAGACGATACATGTTGTCAAGACCGAGTCATACATTGGAAAGAAAACTGACAATGTCATGAAATGTTCAACGGTTATCATTGTAGTTGTTGTTGCGAATATGTTTACATTAAAATCTCAATGTCAATTTGATGTGTGTGTGTGTGTGTATGTGTTTGTTTCTTGGCTTAATGGAAATGTGACACGAAGCGATACAAAATAATAGAAGATTTTTGAATTGAATTTAAGATTGAAATATTTAAATAAATAAGATAGGGGGTCTCATACCGATAGATCTTCTTTTGGCTAGAATTTACCAAAAAAAAAAAATATATATGTAATAGACAGAACTCTTACGGATAACAGATTTTTTAACACAACCTTAGAGAATAGACCTCTAAGTAGTCATTAAACTTAGGGATAAAATTAGGCTGTCTTCTTTAGGGTTTAAGAAGATTTCTAAGAACATACCTTCCATCGAATAATTGTGAGCAGATGACCTTTAAGATGTTGTCTTTGAGAGACGATATATTTGAACTCTCCCGTCAAAAAATGATTGTAGGAAATTTAAGGTATACCCTATACACTTATGCATTTGTGCATTTGTTTGTAACAGGGAGAAGCAAACGAGATAGACACATAGTTAATTTTGAGGATCTTCTTAGAATCATTTTCTTAGTCGATTTATGCATGTCAGTCCCTCTGTCTGCCCGTCCATGTATTCTTGTAAACAAAATGCAGGTCGTATTTATTATCCGATTAAGATGAATTTTTGCAAACAATATTTGTTTGGTCCAACGACGAACCCTGTTGATATTTGTGATAATCGGATCAGGTTTAGATATAGTTCCCATATATCTTCAACCGATTTCGGGTTTATTGTGCCCAAAATGGTCAATATAAGTCATAAAGACCTGAATTTTGGTATATCCAACCAAATTCAGTCTAGATGCAAGTTCATCAATTTTGGTAAAAATCGGTTCCGATATATCTATAGCTCCAATATATATGTTTCATCCGATTTGGGGTTTTGATTCTCTCACAAGCGTAATATGCACACCATAAGTCAAATTTTACCGAGATCGGT